GGGGGGGGGGGGGGGGGGGGGGGCATATTGGTGTTGCTCGGCTGAAACCCCCGACGACGTTGATCATATCGATCGCACGTAGACCCGACCGGTTAGCGGGTTGGCGGGTCAGACTAGGGTCAGACTAGGGTCAGACTAGGGTCAGACTAGGGTGAGGCAAGTGTACCTATTTTGTTGTATTCGACGAGCAAGCCGGTGAGGAGTTCCCTTGCGATTTGTGGCGCATCTCTGAAGTGTGTGGTGAGTCGTTTGGCGATAAGGTCGATTTCGGTTCGTGCGCGAGCGAAGTCTGAGCGGGCACGTTTGAGTGAGTCTGCGAGTCGTGCGATGGCGACAGCTTCATCTTCGAAGGCGAGATGTTCAAGGGCTAGGGCTGGTGTCTCATTTCGATCGTTATATAGGTCGCTATATCGTGGAGGTGAGCCAAGCTGCTTGGCTTTAGCCATAGTCCGTAACCAAGATGAACGATGATCGGGACTAGGGAAACGGAGCTTGAGTGGTGGTCCATTAGAATGTGTTACCACGGCCTCCAGCTGCTTTATAGGCTTGAATTTACACAACACCAACGGAATCTCATCCCGTGATGTAGCACCACCCTCTCGGGGCACATACAATTGAAACATACCCGGTACAATATCGAAGTGACGCAACTTCCACTGACTCACATAGTTTGTCCATTTGTCTACACGACCAGATAACAATGTACCTGGCAACGCATTACTTCGCTCTGACAGACCACCTCGTTCCGACAAACCGCTTCGCTCCACCATACCGTTCCGCGCCGTCCAAGAGACCGGACTAAGTCTTCTGTCCAGGTCCCCTCCCTCACCTCTTCCGAAACTCTCAAACGAAACCTCCGTACGACCGCGCTGCTGCGAACGCCGAAACGGATACGAAATCAGACTCCGCACCAATCCCGGCCGCGGCGGCTTCGCACCCGCCACCTCCCTCTCCAACACTTCCAACGGCGTCGGCGGCAAAACAGTACCCGGCGGCAACGGTGGCGAACTCGCCTCAACAGGCGCCGGCGACGGCGCTTGTAGCGCTGGCGGTTTCGACATTAAAAACGAGAAACATCATCCCCCTCGCAAAAAACGCGCAAGCCCGCAACTTGCTCCCTTCCCGCAACTGCCGCCAACCGCAGCAGCGGCAGGGCAAGGCCAGCCAAGGGCAGGCCGCTCAAAGGCAGGGCGCCCGACTCGACCTCTCGAGCCAACCCACTCGACAACTACATGAGAACAAAGCTGGGCTGCGTAGATGGCCGTTGCTTCCGTCGAGACTCTTTCTGAATAATTAGTTTGTCAATGGACGGCGCTTTTAATCCCGTGCACACGCGTGTGCTAGCGCTTCGGCTGCGCGTTGAATTAAATACATAAGTTGATTCTAACGTCTGCGCCTTCGTTTGGCGCTGCGAACCACGCTGGGAACCAACCACCGAGTATATTGTCCCATCAGACCCTCGAATGCACCGGCTAAATACGAACGGTCTTGCTTCATTGGTCATGACGCTGGACCCGCACTCTCCCCTCAACTTCACATTGGCACCTGATGCTCGCGTCCGAGCGGCCTCTTCCAATAAAAATTCCGTCGCCTTCTCTGCGCCGTAAAGATCCTCATCTCTCCGGCGAGAAGACTGTGGCCGCCCTCGAGCATCACCAGACTGTCGGTCTGATCGCCTGTCCGGACCCTGGCAACGGGGATTCGAACATCGGGCATCTAAGCATCGGGGGTTCAAACATCGCAGATCCAGGCACGGGTGATCCCTAGATCTGGGATCCAGAGACCTGGGATCCACAGACCTGGGATCCAAAGAGCTGGGATTCAAGCATCGGGGGTCTACTGATCTACAGAGAGACGTTCCATGACTAAATATGCCCGAACTTGGATTGTTTTGACTTCGATCAAACCCAGTCCCTCCCTGACCAGGGAAGGACGTCATACTGCCCGGGGCCATACTGCCCGGGGTCATACTGCCCGGGGCCATACTGCCCGGGGCCATACTGCCCGGGGTCATACTGCCCGGGGTCATACTGCCCGGGGTCATACTGCCCGGGGTCACGCTAGCTTGCATCGCATAGTTCCTCACGGGCCGCTCCCCGACTGCCGACCTCCGTCCAACCTCTTCTCGCCGTACCTCTCGGGGAGTGTCCCTAAGGGGAGGATCCCTACCTGGAGTGTCCCTAAGGGCAGTGTCCCTAGGGGGAAGATCCTTAGGGGGAAGATCCTTAGAGGGAGGACCGCCCTTTGCATGTTGGCAAGAAAACTCACTTCTCTGGGAGCCGCTCTCGGTGCTATCCCGCGACCGGTCACGCAATCTATGATCGCTTGCGTTGAGAGAAGGTATCTCGCTTGGAGGAATCTCCCCAGGGGTGGGTAGCAGCCGGCCCTGGTCGTATCGTCTCACTCTCGTACCGCCATGCCAAGAAAAGTAATCAGTTTTGATCATAAAAAACTACTACCGTTCAACACGTCGTTCGCAGAGGTTGAAGAATAAGCCAATCTCGTCCTTGGGGTTCAGTGCTTGGTAGTGGTGCTGGTACTGCATGGCCGACTGTAGCAGTCGGCCATCCGCCTTCAGCGCCTTGACGGCCGTGGGTACATCAATGAAGCAGGAACGGTCAAGTTTTTCGTACCCATCCACTACGCGTACCCGTGGCTCCGTGTATTGCGCCTTACACGCATGCTTTATCAACGCGCTCCACGTCTCGTGGTTCTTCAACGTCGCCGAGTTGCCCACAATCCATAGACAGTCCCGCGCACGCGTGATAGCCACGTTCAGACGCCGGATGTCCGCTACGAACCCGATACTCGGCCCCTCCACCTTCCGTTTCTTCGCGCCGCCGCCTCCGCCGAAAAACTCTGCGAAGTCGTCCGACGCCGACGGCACCGCCTCCGTCGCCTGCCCCGCCAGACTCCTAACGCAACTAAAGAAGATGATCGAGCGCTCGCGCCCCTGGTACGAGTCAATCGTACAGACCTCGATTGGCTGGCTAGTGAATTGCCGCAAGAACGCAGACTGCGACTGCAACACGCGGTTTATTTCCAATACCTGTTGCCGATAAGGCGTAACCACCGAAATGTCTTTCGCAGTCACCGTCTGTCGCCCGTTCGGCTGCTGACCCTCGCGGACGCCGTATAATTTGAGCAACATGATAAGCATCTGCGCAATAAACGTCGCTTCGCCCGTATTCATTAGACTCTGGCTTATATTATGCCGCGCCTCGCTGGTGGGCACGTTGAAGAACTTGAACGGCGCGAATAGCGAAGCGCATTCCAGAGAATGCGGTCCCGGAATTCGTGTGCACACACTTTTATCGTTCAGCAAACGACCCCGATAAAAGTGCGCGGCCGGAAACGCCGCGATTTCCGGGCGCATTCGGTACTGCGTCTGCAGCATGACCACGTCTACGCCGCAGAGCTGCAGCCGTTGAAAGAGCGAGCGTTCGTAGTTGAATTTTTTCGCGCTCGCACTCAAGACCGTGGCCGGCAACTGCTGCGGGTCGCCGATGAGCACAAGCTTCTCCACCTCATGTCGCAGGGGAATGAGCGTACTCAGCTCCACCGCCTGCGCAGCCTCGTCGACCACTACGTATTCAAAGCTAATGCCCTGCAACACGTCCGCCGCCGACCCAGACAAGGTGCTGAAGAATATGTCACCTGACTTAAGCGTGGCATCACGGTTCGAACGCTGCGCCCCTTTCACGTCGCCAGACAGCGACTCACGCAACTCCTTCCGCTTCGCAAACAAATTCCGCTGTTGCCCACGCAATTCGCCGTACTTATGCTGCAATGCCTGCTGCTCCTCCGCCTTCACCTGTCCTGACAACTGCTGCGCTTGCACCGCCTTGATCAGGCTATCCAGTCTCTCAATTTCTTGATTTATCTTGTCCAAGTTCTGCGACCATTCCGCACGTCGCCGGTCCTTCACCTCTCCGTCCTCTTTGGACAGTAACAGCTCTAGGCTTATTTCCTTCACCTCCTCCCGTGTTATACGACTCGGGTTCCCGATACGGAAACACTTCGGATGGAACACGTGTCCGTGCTGACCCGGCAAACCCACCGCCAATACTCTTCCGGCAATCTCGTCTACCGCAGCATTGGAAGGAGCACACACCAAGACACGACCGCCGGAAGAAGAAGAGGAGGAGGCTTCGCCTCCTCCTCCTCCTCGAGACGTCGGTCGGGACTGTTCCGCACCACCATGGCCCGGAGCACTGCCTCCGGACCGCGCCATAAAAATGGCGGCCAGAATGCTCAAAAGCGTTTTAGTCTTGCCCGTTCCCGGCGGCCCTTGCAGCAAGGCTACGCCGAAATCTGCAGTCAGCGAATGCTTCACGGCCAGCGCCTGAGAGCTGTTCAAATTTGTCTTTTGCCGAATGCTCTCGACGAAGGCAGGACAGGGCTTGTTCTTAATACGCTGCGCAGCCGCCTCCAGGCTATTCCGCTTGTGCCCACCGGGTCCACCAGGTCCGTTACCGTGGTTAGGTCCGTTACCGTGGTTAGGTCCGTTACCGTGGTTAGGTCCGTTTCCCTGGTTAGGTCCGTTTCCCTGGTTGTTTCTGGCCTCGTGTTTTTCTCGATCGCGGGAGTGTTTGAGAAACTTGTAGGGGTCGAGCATGTACTCGAAGATGGGCGAGAATGAGGAGGTGAATAGAGACTGGAACTCGCGGACGCTGGTTGTGAGGGATGCGATGGAGTATGCGATCCAAGCGCTGCCGATGTGAACGTTAGTAGCGGGAATACGGTGCGGTTGTGCAAGTTGATTACGAGGAAGACGTAGATGGCAGCTGACGAGATCGTCGTTGGTTTTTTTGGGGTCCGTAACTTCTGGTTTTTCCACGACCCCGATAAAGTATCCCTCCTGGGGCGGCCCGGGTAGGTCTTGCAGAGCTCGACCTTCGTAGGGTGAGTAGGCTTGTTTCAGATCATTGCAAGGCACAAGGAATAGGACATCGTGTTTGCGGAAGGGCAGCATTTCGAGTTCATGTGAAGCCGCGTTTTGCACCTGTTGTTCTGGAGGGTCGTTGGGTCGCCAGTTGATCTGGCCACCGTCTCGGGGTGCTCGTGGGCGGCCACTCTTGGCGCCAACGAGCATCCAGCCGGCAGAGAGTGTGGCGGAAGTGATAACGACAGGAAAGGATTCGAGTTTGCGTTCGATGCGTTCCTGTAGCATGGAGCAGCGGCACTCTTCGACGACGAGGGGTTTGAAATAGTTCTTGAAAGCTTCCGAGGTGGCGAATGTGTTGGGTAGTTTGTCATCTGGTAGACTCAGGAGTTCGGGTACTTGGTAATTCTCCAAGTTGAAAAAGTCCCACTCCAGTATGTCAACTAACACCTTCTGCAATCCCTGCGTCGCCTCCGCGACCAACCTCTTCTTGTCCATATCCGTTAACTTGCGTAGACGAGGACCCTCATCTACCTTCTCCACCTTCTCGGCCAATGCACGCCCTCCCGGACCCACTAACAACGTCTTCCCCGGCGCTGCCGTCTCGCCACCCGTCACAATGTTCCGCTTCCACACCGGCTGCTTCGCTAACATCGCCGCGTCACCTCGAACCGCCGTCTGCGCCGCACCTCCCGTCACCATATCCTGCGCCTTCCATTGTTGAAGCATTTCTCTCGCCACATCCTTTCCTTCCAACCGTCGTTTCCCCGCCAACGCTGTGGCAGGTGCAAACGTCTCCACACCTGGCCGACCACCCATCCCCTTATTACCCAGGCGACTTGACGACCCAGAACCGGCGGACCCAGGACCGGCGGACCCAGGACCGGCGGACCCCTGTCCAGAGCCTCGGTCACGGTCACGACCTCCCAACGACCCAAGACCGCGATTACGACCGCCGCCGATGGGCGCGTTATCGTTCACGCTCGCCGTACTCTTCGGAATCTGGTTCACTAAGTGACCCTGAATCACACCCAGAATTTCTTTGCTTAGCGCCAGAGAACGCGCTTCATCGATATGCAGTGACTTCAGGCTCTTTATCAGCTGGTACAAAAATACCGCCGACTCCCTGATCTTCAATCCCAATTCACAATCTGTCCACTTCTGCGACCCACCCGACGTCTGGCACACCAGCTGGCCCGCCTTACACCAACGCAGGAACATGTCCATCCAGCCACTCTGTTGTAAACAGACGTTGAGGTGCACCAATGTGCAACCCAACAACTCCGTACCACTCACTCCGACCCCTGCTCCGGCGACCGAGACTCCGACCCCTGCTCCGGCGGTTTTTTCTAGAACAGTAGTAGCCTGTTTGGAGGTGTGTTTGAGAAAAGCCTCGATAAAGCCGAAGAAGACCAAGTACACGTCGTATGTGTCCAGGGCATTACGCAGTGTAGAGTTGTCTTGAAGGGATTTATACACTATGGGACCCGTTTTGAGTCCTTGAATCAATATCTCCCACAGCACACGCTCCACTTCCGAGAGCCACGCGGATTCGGGTGCATAGACGCCAGCTTCGTGTTTGATCAGGTGTTGGGCCACTTTCTCATCGATATGAAGTTCCAGTGAGTTTAACATGCCTCTGCTAAACCACCAGAAACGTTTGCAGTTGGCGACCTGGCAACAGAGGAACTCAAAGTGCGTGAGATTCGCTCCGCCACTCGGAACTCCACTGCTCTGCGACAAACAGGACCCCGGGGGTGCGAGGCCGAAGTGGCTGAGCATGGCGCGACTGAAGTTGGTTCTTTGTTCTGCGGCGGTAATAAGGTTATCGACCAAAGAATCGTTGCAGCTGGCGATACCCTGTAGCAGTTCGTGGTCCGTGGGCATACCGACGGGCGGTACTAGGTTGCGTGCGTCGTTTTTGCATCGGAGTGTCACACGACCGCCATTGACTGCACCTTGTGTAAGAAGTGTGAGAAGAAACCCCAGTTCTTGTTTCACCGGGTCGGGTACAAGAGAAACCGCAATGGTAAGTGAAAGGGCGAGCACCTGTCTCAAACAACTTGAGAATTGATCACTGTTTAACACGCCTCGTGCAAAGTGTGTAGACACCACCTTTTGAGCATTCACATCCCATGAAAACGCCGGCCGGTTCTTCAACTGCTGCAACGACACCGCCAACATGTAAAAGGAGACCGTCGTCACCGGTAACGTAGGAGGCGGCACACGCTGGGACATACAGGCCGTCGCCCACAGATGCAACCGCTCAGCCAAGCTACGGCACACAAACACTAGACCACCATAGATAACGTCCAGTAGATGTTCTACACGAAGCTGCAAAGACAACAATGCCTGCGTCTGCTGCTGCTGTGGTACGGTAAGCAACTCGCCTCCGGGTAGCAACTTCTCCAATGCGTGACATAAACTCCGGTGGCAACTTACGTAACCTGTAAACTCACATAGCAGAAGAAACACATCCACGCTTTGCGCCTCAGCGTACGCCTCATTGTCGTGCGATGCCTTCAACACGTGTGGCACCACATCACACACCACCTCGCCCCACACTTTGAACGCTGTCCCGTCCACCATGCTCTGCGCACGCGTGTGTGCACTTCGACAAAACTCAGTCGCGACTGAGGCGTCGGGCGCCAGTGCCTGGGTCTGCGGCGGCGGCGGAATCGGGAGCTCGACTGCGTACTTGCTGCTCTTCGTCCCGCAGATGGGTCCGATTAAACTGGCGACTCCTTCGGGCGGTTTTGCGGCGAGGCCTGCCTTGATGCTGACAGTGGCTGAGAGGAGGAAGGTCCAGACAGCGAGATCCTCACTGGACTGCGCAAGGGCCCAAGCCAACACGTCACGCATCGCATCAAGCACACGTGCGCGCTGCTCGGGTTGCATGGGGTATACGGAGCCCTTGGCACGATTGAACATGATTGCGCATTCCCAAACGTTTTTGAGCGCGGCCACAGCCTGCGACTGTGACTCCTGGAGCAGTCTTTCAAAGGCGGTACAATGCTGGCTGGAACGTCCGTCAAGCACGCTTTCTGATCGAAGTAGTGTTGCCAGTGCCATCTGTGATTGCGTCATGAGCGTTTTGGGTGAGATGGCGAGCGGGTTCTCAACGTAACCACTACTCGAGACCAAGCTTTGGTCACAGACCAACATATGCTCTACTTTCGCCAGTACACCTACCTTGGTGCTGCTCACAGACAACCGCGTCTGGATCTCCAACAACACCTCCAATAACGCCTGGTGGCACGGGAAACAAACCAGCAAAGCCGGACTTCGAACTGCCCCATCCGCAAAAGCGCTCATACAGCATGTAAAGTCTTCAAGTGCCAAACTCAAACAAGAATTCAACTCCGCGTTCTGAAAGTTGTCAACCAAGCTCAATTTCTTCAACTCCGGCATATGACTCTGACCTGACGATGAACCTACCGACCACCCCAAAATCGCACTGAATACAGCCACGAATATCTTGTGACAATGTACTGCCGCACGTGAGCAATCCAAGTCTTTCATCAAGACATCCCAATAACCCGCACTGCCAGCTGTATGTCGCAGAAAGTTGCTGGCAATGCTGTATTTATGTATCGATCCGCACTTCATACCCGTCTTCACAGGGTCTGGAGTACCCACCAGCGGCACCCGGTAGCCATGACTCGGTCCACCAATACTCGGTCCACCACTACTCGGTCCACCACTAGCCTGCTGTATATTCTCGAATAAAGGTTCTGTCTTGACCTCCAACATCCTGTCCGTCTTGAACATCACATTCTCGTCCGTCTTCACCTGCGCCATTTGTACCGAGCCCATCTGTGCCGGATCCATTTGCGGTAGATTCATTTGCGTTTGGTCCGACTTCACCTGCGCCTGGTCCGACTTCACTTGCTCTGCTGGGGCAATCGCGTTGGGCGGGCAATCTGGGCTAGACTGCGCCGGTGTCCGGAGGCTGTGAGTAGAATTTGTTGCGCTGTCAGTAGTGCTGACTCCGTTGGAGATTATGCTCAATTGCTCCTGTTGTAGCCAGACGCTAATGAGATGGATGAGATTGGTTGCGAAAAGGGCACCAATTGGTGTATCCGGGGTCAAGATTTTATGCTGGAAGAGCGAGCCAATGGCGGAAATTGTTTCTGAGGTCGTCGTCGCTGCGTCTATAGACGACGCTAGGATGGCAGTGAGGTTGTCGCCATCTACATTTCCCAACCAGCCGGTGGTAGGAGCTTCGTTAACTAATTCTTCGAGTACTCGCTGAGCTACCACACGCGTGTGCGCCTGCGATAAATGCGCAATTAAATGCCGGAGAACCAGGTCCGCATTGAGAGCAACCGCATCCAAAACGCAGCGCGAGTCAGCAGCGAGTGCCCTGGCGATAAGCGCATCCGGGGTGCTGGAGCCATCAGCGAAGGTGCCGTCGTCTTTGGATTTGAATGAGGATGGCGAAGTGAGTAAGAAATCCAGTAGCCAAGTCGGTCCCGGGGGCTGAGAGAATAGTCTGTGCATGTCTCTCTCGGTAATTACATCCATGAGATCAACGACGCATTCTGGGTCGAAGATGGACGAAAGCGCTTTCCGGAGTGAGTTTTTGACAGTTGCATATCGGCAGCGACACTGAATGCACGTTTTTAGGCATGCTTCATCTACATGCTGAACAACTTGCCCCAGCATCGGGTGTTCGTAGGCCGCGGAATATAGGAACGAAACGAGACATTCATCTGTGTCTAGCCGACAAAGATGAGTGCAGCTTGATAACAACAGGGATCGGCTAACTACGAATTTTTCCAAGGCCTCCTCATCATCTATGACAGAAGAAGCTGGTGAGCCTTCTATAGATAGTAACTCTTCGAAAGAACTCTTTTCAGACGACCACGAAACCAATGACTCTTCCAGCCCCATGCATAGAGCCAATTTATTAAATGCTCGGATGCCACGCGGCCAGCAAACCAGCTTGATTGCTCACTACAAGAAAACTGCCCAGCCGGAAAGGAGGCCCGATCACATTATAGAATGGCCCGATCCGCTAGAGCATTCTTACAGCTTGGGGGTGTTCGACCAAGCTCCTCAAAAAAGACTTACAGGCGACCTCAAACTTCTCGGGCTTGATCTCGACGGCACCATCATTACTACCAAAAGTCACAAGAAGATGCCGGTAGACATGAATGACTGGAGATGGAACCTGCCTTTACCAATCATGAAGCAAAAGTTAACGCAATCCCAAAACGAGGGGTAGGTTGAGACCACCGGGAAGATTATCGGGAAGACGACTGGGTAGATTATCGGGAAGATCACTGGGGAGACCGTGATAACAAGGGAACAGCTGGCTACCTGACTTCGGGTTGCGGATAGCTGTTCATTCCAGAAGGTATGTGTGATGGTAACGTTTCTCTTAGTTATGTGATCTTCATTTATTCGAATCAGTTGCATCATAACAAGAAAAAAAGCTACATCGAACATGTTACTGAAATCCGAGCTAAGCTATCATGCATACTTCCAAAACGTAAGATTCCTTCTGTCTTCCCCGTCCCGTCCCGTTTGTATGATTTGTCGTAGTGGGAGTGCCATTGGTGGTGGTGGCTAGTCACAGGCGTGA